AAATAAGATCCTCTCCCTGTTCCTTTTCAATTTTAGAATCCTTGGTTAGATCGACCATAGTGGCACGGGCTTCTTTTAAGCCCTGAACAAATAGTTCGTGCTGACTAAGCTCTTGTTCGTGCTGACTAAGTTCTTGTTTGTGCTGACTAAGCTCTTGTCCCATTATTACCCTTATTACTTGTCCCATTATTGCCCTTATTACTTATAAGTAAGTGATCTTTGTTACTCACCGGGACGATTCTCTGCCGTCCCCTCCTCGGACGATTCTCTGCCGTCCCCTCCTCGGACGATTCTCTGCCGTCCTATCTCGGGACGATTCTCTGCCGTCCCCTTCCAGGATGCTCTTCACTGGATCCTTCGTACTCAAGTCCCTTGTTTGGACGCCAGGTATCCCGTCCCTGTTCGGGTGCCAGGTGTCCCGTTATTACACTTATTACTTATAAGTAAGCAATCTTCCTGGTCGCTGTCGTCATCTCGGTCGTCGTCTGGCTACTGTGGGGCAGGCATCATGGTTATATACACTCTGGTGGGTTGTAAATGGTGGGCCCTGATTGGTTGTTAACGGTGGGTTATGATTGGTTGCTTTTGGACCAATCATGAGGGGCTGGGTATGCAAATTTGAGGAATTCTAGTGGCCAATCAGAGCAAGGTTTCGAAGGTCAGGTTTTTGGAAGGGAACCAATCATGGTAATTGTTTGCTCTCTGAGAAACCTCGGCAGACTCGCTGGTGCGCAGCTTCCCACAAGGAAGCCTTCAACAATAGTTAAGAATTAGGTAGCAGTTTCTCTGTTAGTGATCTGTACCTCCAAGCACAATCATATGGGACAGAGTGGTGCTGTGCTGCCTTGTTCTGTTTCTGTAGTGTTAAACTTCTGTGTGGGGGATTGCTGGATCTTACTCCTGTTACCTAGCAATTCTGTCCACTTGCCCTAACCAAAAACCTGGGAACACTGGTTCCTCTTTTCTCACTACTCAATTCAAACTCTTAAATCTTTCAAGTGCATTCCCTTCTCTTTCATTTCTCTTAGCACAAGTTTAGATCTCTTGTTCTTGTCATGTAGAGTCCCCAACTGTTTTGTTGTTGCAGTTGGTGTCTCTCCCTAGAATCTTGCTCTTCTCTCTCCCTTAAGGACACTAATCTCAAATATTGTTTTTCTTACATTTTTTGATTCTCTGGGGTTGTGTCCTAAAATCCTCATCCTTCTTGTTCCTTACTGCCACCTCTAGTCTGTTTCCTCTCTCCCTCTTTTTTTTTTTTTTTTTAGGGGATGGGAAGAGGTTTTTGCTATAGGGCACGTGTGCTCACTAGAAAAACAGAGACGGACAGAGAGAAAGAAAGCGAGAAATCACCCCCTGAGGGGGTGGGATGGCCACACCGCAATCCCTTCTCCTCCTCTCGAGATCTTGAGCACACACGCACACATGCCCAGCGTGAGTTTAAGCCACTGGGTCCGGGATTCAAACCATGGTCAACTACATGGGAGTCCAGTGACGTAGCCATTACACTATCTGCTGGTCCCCCCTTCCCTCTTAACATCCTGTTCCCTAGCTAATCTGGTTCCAGAATAGCTTCCTTAAAGTTCGCTTAAATGCCTCATGCCTTGTCAGGTTCTGTCCCTGTACCTGTAGTTACTTTTACCCAAAATGTACACCATCACCACCACCACCATTTATAACCACCAGCAGAGAAGCGTGTGTTTGTGCTATAGTGCTTGAGAGCCTTTTCACAGCAGTTACCATGTTCTTTATAGTGCCTGGTTTATTGTTTCTGCCATGCTGTTAGGCTGAAGTACGTTGAATAAATGGTTACCAAAAAAGAGAAAAAAGGGGGTGGGGGAAGGCCAGCAGGTGACGTGATGGTTAAGACACTGGACTCCCACTTGGATGGTCATTGTTTGAATCCCAGACCTGGTGGCTTGAAAATCAACTTTGAGCATGTGTACATGCATGCCCAAAATCCCAAGAGGAGAATGGAGGAGAAAAGATTGTGGCATGGCTATCCCCCCCGAGGGGGGTGATTTCTCACTTTCCCTATCTCTGTCTCTGTCTCTCTCTCTCTGGCGAGCATATACACTTGATGGCAAAAAAACTTAAAGAAAATAAAAGGGACCTCAGAAATACCTATCTGGCATGATGTTAGAGCAGTAAAATTTTAAAGGAAACTGAATAGACAACAGTAATGGTAAGGTAACTCTTCCCAGCTGTAGCTGCCTTTCATTCTTTCCAACTCTCTCACCACCTTTATCTACTACCTCAGCAGTTTCTCTTTTTTATTACTTATTTACTTTTTAATTAAAAATTTTAAGAGATTTTTGCTATAGGGAATGTGTGCTCACCAGAGAGAGAGAGAGAGAAAGTGAGAGATCACCCCCCCAAGGAGGATGGCCACACTACAGTCCCTTCTCCTCTATTCTCCTGGGATTTTAGGCATGCACACACACATGCCAGTGTGAGCTTCAAGCCTCCAGGTCCAGGACTCGAACTATGGTTGACTACATTGGAGTCCAGCAACGTAACCATTACGCTATCTGCTAGTCCCTATTTTTGAAGTTTTTACCATGGGGAGTGTGTGTTAGCCAGAGGAAGACAGAGGTAGGGGTTAGGGAGTGAAAAATCACACCCTAGGGAGCATGCCCACACTGCAATCCCTGTTTTTCAGTTTCCCCTCAGAATTTTGGGCTCTGCACATGTTTTTCATGCCACTGGCTTTTTTCCCCCATTATCAATCATATCTATATCCCTCCTAGGGTTTCTCTCTAGACTGCCCTCCTAATACCACCTTCTCTTTGACTCATTTCAACATGCATATAACATAGGAGTCTCAATAGTAAACATCTCTGAAGGTTAGGAGTAAGTTGAAGAGAAGCATGGATTATAGTTATTTACTTAATGAAAATTTAGACTTGCTCAATAAAAACTGATGTTGGAACAGGACAATGGGTTGTGTACTGTGCGTATCTCATGAATTTATTAACACAGGACTAATATAGTTTAGCTTACATGTTTAATTTTATTTGGTGTGAACTTATTTTCACCGTGTGTGAATTCTTTATTCTTTCTCTGTAGGTTCTGGATCCCTCAGAGCAAAATTTGATCTTTCAGAAGGACCCAGTAAACCCACAACACTTGCAGTGCAATTCCTCAGTGAGGGAAATACCCTCTCAGGAGTAGACATTGAACTTGTAGGCACTGGCTATAGGCTTTCCTTAATAAAGAAGCGATTTGCCACTGGTAAGTTGTGATATTAAAAACTTTTTAATGTTCCAACTCCTAGCTCCTAAACCACTGTGAAACAGTTTACAATCAAAAGCCATGGAAACCTTTTCCTTGACCCTTGGAACAAGGTGCCTAATAGACACACACCTGGAAAAGAGAGTACCCATGGTCAGTATAGCTGAACACCTGTGATCTGATTCTATTGTATTGTAAACAACAGATGGGAACTGGGGTTCTATGTCTGTACACAGTGAAAAATGTCCTCCTCTGAGTGTATTTGAAATTGCAGTTATAAAGGTCTGTTTGGTGTTTTTCAGGTCGATACCTGGCGGATTGTTGATGGACCTGGAAAGTGGCTGACTCGAGGGAGTAGTACAAACCTGCCATTCTGCATTACCTATTCTTTCCAAACACTATTCTAACTTGTATGATGTCTTTCAAACTTAGACATGTTTGGGAGCTGACTACAAACATTAAATTGCACTTTTAAAGTGAGTCATTTTAAGAAATAGCACTGAATGATTTCTACGCTGTACGCTGTAAATGATCAACTATAATATTCAGGAAGCACATTTACTCAAACTCTCAGTAAAAGTGAAATTTTTATAGGCTGACATTTTAAATTATTGTCAGTGTCTTATATTGACAAAAGGGGTTATAGTATAATATCAGGCCTGAAATTTCAGGGGAGCAGGCACAGAATAATTTAGCTTTCCATAAATTTTTTGAGTCAGATAGCCTTGAAGTTCCGTAAGTTTGATATTGAATGGATATGAACAGAACGTGAATTCTAAGTTTTGCATAATGTTAACTGAGAACACTCAATAAAATTGAGTTATGTGCCATAAGGTAATCAGACCAGAGTCCAAGTTGTATGCAAAAAATCTATAATTTGATTCTCATAAACATATTAATAAAGTGTAAATGGTGTTTTATATGATTTAAAAAAAATTTTCAAGTGCAATGTGTTTTAAAATAAGCTTACAAAAGACAGCAGAGAAATTTTCTTCTGCAGTTAATTAACTTTATAGAAGTTGTGATTGTTTTCATGAATTAATGCTGTAGATTTAATTTATTTTTATATGAATTACATAATGTGTGCCTTTTAAAACAATAACAAAACCAGAAATGTGCCTATCGTTTGTGTTTGTTAATGTGCCTCACTTTTTTTCTCAGTCTGAATTGTCTATTCAGAATCTTAGAGTGGTCATACATTTTACAAAATATTTTCAGTTTTCACAAATACCTTTGGCCTGCCATTAGAAGGGAATTCAGAGTAACTAAAAATAATTTATACTTAAGGACCTGGCTCACTTCTTCAGTGATACACTGTAGCCAGTAGAAAGAGAAACAAGCCTAACAGCCTGTGTTTGCAGGGGGAAAATTTTTACCTTCAGATATTTGACATTAACCTCATCAAAAGTATGTGAGTTGTAAAACAGGTAAAATTTTTAAAACTTTAATGGCAAATTAGTAACTGATATTTAAACTCCCAATTTAGCATTTCCATTGGCTCTCTTTGTAATTGGACATTTACATGTCTTTTTACTTACTGTGTTGTGAACACGATGAGTTTTGTAGTATTTTGTGAGTACGTTTTTTTTAAAGATTAACTTTGGCAACAGAGGGAGAAGAACATCACTTTTTTTTCATTTCAACAATTGGAAAAATTACCAGCTTGTATGCTTTTTGTTATTACTTAATTCTCATGTGGTAAAAATAGAGAAATTAGTTGCAATGAAGGATTGGGTTCAGCATTTCCTTAAATAAGCTACTAATACTACATAGTAACAAGTTCTAACTTTATAGAAAATTCAGATTAATTGAAGAAATGAAGTATTTTGGACAAAGTTTCATAATTACAAGTGGGAATTCTATATATGATAAAATACCAGTGTCCTTGATTTTGCATAGTAGAAATGATAAATTGTTTTATTTAATTTATATAAAACCACTAATTGTTCTGTTAAGCTTTACAGAAAATAAAACTTGTTTTACTAGACATTTATGTAACACCTTGCTATTCTGAATACAGCAAAAAAATCTCTTTAGCAATATGTAACCGCGGTATGTGCTTTTTTATATATTCAGTGTTAGCCCAGTCCTAAATTTAGGTTTGACTAAAGCAGCACATAAAAGTTTGCTAAAGTGTTAATCTTTACTAAATAGCGAGCAAAGTTAGAATTGCTCACTCTTATTTTGTGACCTTTTAAATGCCAATTACAGTCTTACTGGAATTTTAACTAATCTGCTTTGCATTCAGACTGCTTTCATTGGCAGTTAATATTTCATTATTGGAGTTCAGACACCATTATACTCACATGTTTGTTTATAATCAAGTATTACCTAAAAGTGTACAAATTAGTGAAATGGTTAAACTTCTGCACTTTTAAAATTACCAATCTTCATACCAAGTGTTGATACATAAATTCGTATTTGGTACAGGTTACAATTTTGAAGCCATATTAGTTTATATTGATTATTTTCATTTAAAAATCCTCTAATGGTGTAAAAAAGACCAGTAGGTTTTCGATGGGAAATATATTTAGCAAGCTGGTTCTTGCTTATGTGTAACTTTGTAACTGCCCCTTTAACCAAGAACTTGTAAACACAGAACTCTAACAAATGTGAGTTTTTAAGGATTGTTATTTACTACTTTGGATTGTAATTAGAACAATGCACATCTCTCTTCCAAAATTTTGTAAATATTTTTGATTTTTTTCATAAAATGTAAATTTTACATGAAAGTTGTACCCTTAATAAACATGTAATATATAATTTATCAGTCGGCCCATGTGTCTTTATACTCTTCCTGACAGTAATTGCTATATTGCAGATTTAGGACAGGGTAAGCCAGGCAGAAAGAGTAATTGGTTTGAAATTTGTACTGTCATTTAAGCAGGCATACCTGACTGAACAGCTACTTAGATTTCATTGGTCGTAGAGAAAACTTCTTTTGTAGCATATCCCTAAAATGTTTAATTTGTTTAATAAGGGATTATTATTATTATATTCCTAAATATATCCAAGTAGATGCTAAGTTTTTAACATAGACTTCAGTCATTTATCATGTAATGTCTTTTCCATCAGTAATGATTTTTTTTAGAGGTTTTTGGCTTAGGGTGCATGCGCTCACCAGAGAGAGACAGTGAGAGGGAAAGTGAGAAATCACTCTCCAGGGGAAATGGCTATGCCGCAGTCCCTTCTCCTCCATTCTTCTCCTGGGGTCTTGGGTACACACATATGCACACTCAGCATTATTTTTAAGCTACCAAGTCCAGAACTCGAACAGCAGTCAACCATGTGGGAGCCAGCAATGTAACCACTACACCATCTGCTGGCCCCATCATCAGTAATAATTTTAACTTTAAACAGAAAACAAAATTAAGAATGGTTTATACAGATAGACACCATTTCCTATCATATCACAAAGTCTGCAAGTTATCTGTTGCTAGCACTGGTCAGAACAAATCATTCTGTTGGCCTTTTTATTTTTTTTCTTGAGGCAAAACAAGTCACTTCATAAAATATGAAAAACAGCATTGCTAAAAAATAATTTGGTTTGTAGGCAAAATATGAGAAAGGGAGATGAGATATGCCATGTGCTTTCTGAAATCTTTGGGCAACAAATACTATGTGGGAATTTTAAGACAGAAGTATTTTCAAATTCAGTAACTAACTAGAAGTTATACTGTAGCCTCTCAAACGTTCCAAAGCATGCATATTTTATATGACTTCAATAAATTTTCCTGATACTATCAACTTTGCTATTAAAGTCCTGGAAATGTCAACTTTTGTTTATTTGTTTGTTTTATGTGAATAACTCCACAACCTCTGTTTCACCTAGAGTTGCTCAGAGCAGTCAAGGAAAACTACCTAGCTATCTGCTAGCATCAGTGTCTCTGAGGTTAGCTTCCTCAAAGAAATTCTGGAGAATATCCATTTTTCTTAATGAGGTGTTAAGCTGCAAGTCAGCCAGAGGGACTGACTCCCACAAAGAAGCTGCTGCCTCTGAGGAACCCCAAGGTTTTGTGGGTGATAGGGTGATAGGTACGACCATAGTGCTCCATGGAGATTTTTAACTGAAAATACTTATGTCAGAATGTTATGTAAACATACTCTGCCTTCACAGCTAGATAGGCGTTTTATAAGCTCAGTTAAATTGTAACTTTTAAACCCACCACTCAGCTGCAAGAAATGCCACTTGTCCAAGATCTAAGGTGACATGAACACAGCAGTTTGGCTATGCTCGTGATGTTCTAGAAATGTGACCTTGTTAACAGTCTTAAAACACAGGTTTCTCTCAGTCATGGGGCTTAGGCACCTCGTCTGTTATTCTTGGTTATGGTTGAAGGGGTGTGTTAGTACATCGTGTGCGGCCATAGTAGAATACCTGCAGTTGGGTCATTTATAATGAATGGGATTTATTGGCCCACAGTTCTGAAGACTAGGGATTCTAGGACAGAGGCCAGTGTCTGAGAAGGGCGTTCTTGCTCCTGTACCAAGGAGGGGAAGGGCAGATAGAAAGTGAGGGAGTAAGAGATGGAACTTGCAGCCTTAACCCCTTTTATAATCAGCATTAGTCCATTCATGAGAGTGGAGCTCTCAGGACCTGAACACTTCCCATTAGGCCCTGCCTCCCAACACTGTTGCAGGAGGATTAAAATTTCCAACATGCACTTCCTGGCGGAGACAATGAAACCATAGTAGACTATGACAGTGGTTCTCAAATGCCCCTGTATATCAGAATCACTTGGAGAGCTTTGAAAAGTTCCATAGCTCAGGGTGTGTCCCAGATCTATTAAATGATCGTCTCTGAAGGAGGGACTCCGGCATCACACTTTTGAAGCTCTCTAGATGATTGCTATGTATGGCCAGGTTTGAGAAGTAGATTATGATATCCAAACCATAGCAAAGGATATCTTTTACATGTTAAATTGCTATTTAGCATTTGATGAAACATGGCAGCCCTCATCCCGAGTCATCCCAGCTGTGGCTGAGGAGAAAGTGGCCAGCTCGAAGGCAGAGGTTTGTTGTGGGATTGTTCCCAATCTGGGTATGTGAACACCTAGCTTGCCTTCCACATCTTGGGTTTATTTGTTTTGAAAGAGGACCTTGTGGCATGGCCATTCCCTATAGGGTGTGCTTTCTCTCTCCCCACAGTGAGCACATGTGCCCTATAGCAAATTTAAATAAAGGATAGAGTGAATTAAAATAAAGCTCATTTTACAACCATGGGGTTTGGAATGGGAAATCAGGTTTGCTAATGATCTGTGTGTGTCATGATCCCCCTGCTTCAGCCTCCCAGCTGGGACTACAGGTGCAGGCCACCACTCCTGGCTCATTTTCAAGCAGGGTCTTGGTATAGTTATTGCCCGGGTCAGCCTTTCGCCTGTGATCCCCCTGCTTCAGCCTCCTCGAGTTTTTCTCTCTCCCCACAGTGAGCACATGTGCCCTATAGCAAATTTAAATAAAGGATAGAGTGAATTAAAATAAAGCTCATTTTACAACCATGGGGTTTGGAATGGGAAATCAGGTTTGCTAATGATCTGTGTGTGTCATGATCCCCCTGCTTCAGCCTCCCAGCTGGGACTACAGGTGCAGGCCACCACTCCTGGCTCATTTTCAAGCAGGGTCTTGGTATAGTTATTGCCCGGGTCAGCCTTTCGCCTGTGATCCCCCTGCTTCAGCCTCCTCGAGTTTCTGGTAGGCACATATCACTTTGCCAGGCCTTTGGGTTAGACCTGGAATCAAATTTGATGTCCCATGTCCCAGCCTGAGAAACACATCTTAGTAGTACAGGCCACCATGGGTGGGCTGCCTTCTAAGTTAAGAGCTGGAGTAAGTTGGTTCTAAACAGGACCAGCAGATGATGTATGGTTATGTTGCTAGATTCCTATGTGGTCGATTGTGGTTTGAGTCCTGGACCTGGTGGCTTGAAACTCGCACCAGGCACGTGTGCTTGTGTGCCCAAAATCCTGAGAAGAGACTGGAAGAGAAGGGATTGCAGCATGGCCATCCCCCCTGGGGGGTGGTTTCTTACTTTTTGTCTCTCTGGGAAGTCCACATGCCCTACAGCAAGAAAATTTTTCTTATAAAAAAAAAAAAAGATGGTGGGACCAGCAGTTAGCGTAATGGCTATGTCGGACTCCCACGTAGTCGACTATAGTTCAATTCTCGGACCCAGTGGCTTAAACTCACACCAGGCGCGCGTGCGTGCGTGCCCAAGATCCGGAGAGGAGAATGGAGAAGGGATTGCGGCATGGCCATACCCCGGGGGGTGATTTCTCGCTTTCTGTCTCTCTCTCTCTCTGTCTTTCGGCGAGCGCATGTACCCTATAGCAAAAACCTCTTCAAAAAAAGAAAAAAGTTGTCTCTGAAGTGCTAGATTGTACTCATCTACCTTTCGTGAATCTTCTCTTCTAGGGAAGTGTTTCTAGAAGCAGTGGCAGGAATTAGCCTTGTAAGGGAGCAGAGGTAAGATAAGCAAGGACATGACCTCATGGCCAGCTTCTTTGTCTCTGAGAACTGAACTGATGAGGAACCCGCCACCTACATACATGCTTGCTCTTTTATTGTGGTTATATCTGTGTTTAATTCATTTGTGGGATGTTTTAAAATTTTTTAAAATTATTTTTATTATTCTATTTCTTGTATACATTCAATCACATTATAGCTTGCAGAGTGAAAATTCCAATATGTGTACAATTCACACCGGTCCAGTTGACAATACTATAAGGTTATCCCTCAACAGATAATTACCCGTTCTTTGTCCCATAAATGCCTTGCCTCTCTATTTTTCTCTTTAATATTGTTCCTCAGACTCTACTCCTTCACCTTCCCTCTTCTCGTGGGGTATGTTTTAAATGGATATTTTTCTCTGACATCTTTCAATTCTTGGGCATCAAATTAGTCTGGTCACAGAGAATGGGGAAGAGAAGATATATTTTTCTTTTAAGTGATAGTCAGATGGGCTGGCTGGTGGTGGCTATGACAGCTAGATCTCACATGGCTGGCTGCTCAGAGTCCTGGACCTGGTGGCTTGAAAAACACACTGGGCGTATGTGCATGTGTACCCAAAATCCTGAGAGAAGAGGAGAAAGGATTGTGGCATGGCCATTCCCTATAGGGTGTGCTTTCTCTCTCCCCACAGTGAGCACATGTGCCCTATAGCAAATTTAAATAAAGGATAGAGTGAATTAAAATAAAGCTCATTTTACAACCATGGGGTTTGGAATGGGAAATCAGGTTTGCTAATGATCTGTGAAGTTACACAGTTATTTCCATCTTCCCACCCTCCTGGCTGGAGTCATAAACTCCACAGCTGGCTAGATGAGGACATCGGGAACACAAGTTGATTTTATTATTCTGTCTCCAGATAAGTGAGTTAGTAGCTTTTGATAGGCACACACATACACACCTGTCTTGTCAATAGGGCATGTTCTTTTTTTTTTTTTTTTTTTTTTAAAAAAAAATAGGGTGTGTGCGCTTGCCAGAGAGACAGAGAGACAGACAGTGAGAAATCACCCCCCAGGGGGGATGGCCACGCTGCAATCCCCTCTCCTCTGTTCTCCTCTCGGGATCTTGGGCATGCACACACACACGCCTGGCGTGAGTTTTAAGCCACCAGGTCCGGGACGTGAACCAGGGTCAACTACATGGGAATCCAGCAACACAGCCATTACGCTAGCTACTGGTCCCAATAGGGCATGTTCTTAACTGAAGCCATTGTATTTTCTACCTGGCCAACTCCTCAGGCAGAGCCAGCAGAGGCCAGTCAGG